CAAGAAGCTAGACAGTATAATGTTCTGATAAAAAAAAAAGTAGTGATTAGGCTAGCAGTTTTCTTCTATGATACAAAAATGTTTTAAAAGTGTTCATAGTCACCCTGATTGATAATAACTTATAAGGTTGCAACATCATGTTGCAAACTTGTTGATTACATGTTGTAAACTTGTGCAAAGTAGTTTTTGAACATGTTAGTAAAAAAAACTAGTTTGCAACATTTATATTGTCTTACCAACTTTGAATAACTCAATTGTCATAATTTTTACAATGATTTTTTTTTGGTCAAAGATGTTCTGAACATGTTTTTAATTTAGAGCAATTAATTAACATCATTTATAGTTGATGGAGTCCCTTTTTGCACTATAGGTAAAATGTGCTAGTAGACTAGTAGTAAAACATTTGGCTCGCAACCAGAAGGTTGGGGTTCAAATTACTTCTGCTGAAATTACTGTCTCAATTCTCCACACAGCACCTTTGTTTAAAAATTTTAGTTGTTAATGTTGTTTGTTAGTAAAAATGGTAATGTTAAGGATTGAGACAAAATATTTTTAAAAAATGAGTTGCTCCCTTGACTGAAATGGTCATTGGAGCAATACGGAGGTGAGTTTATGAAATTAAAAAAAAAAAAATTATTGTACTCATACAATTATAAAAATTTGGTATTTTGATCGATTTTTAAAAAAACCCAAAAAACCCATAAAACCCAATAAAACCCAAAAAAACCCATTTGGGTTGGGTTTTTTTTAAAAAACCCTGGGTTTTTTCCAACCCTGGACACAGGCTTTGTAAATAAATCAAAAAATCATTATCCTCCAGAGCAATCAAGAACTATAGGCAAACCGAGGTAAAAAATACAAATGTAATTTTTGAAAATGTATTTGCAGTACTACTATTTCTGGAAATAAACATACATTTGTATTTTTAACCTAGGTCTACCTATAGTTCTTCATTGTTCTGTAGTATAATGGTTTTTTGATTTATTTATACAGCCTGTGTCACATGTCATAAAAAAAAAAGTAAAAAGTTTAATTACAGCCAGAAGCGAATTGATCTAAAAGAAAAAAATTCTGGCTAGAATTCTAGTACATCCCAAATTCTTTTAGTTCATCCCAAAGTCCTTTTTTCCTAAGTTTGGGTGGTGAATAGTATACAATTTTCCTTGTTAATGTTGAAGGATATAACACTTTCGCAACTGAATCCATCTTCCCCTGATATTTTATTCAGAATTTTAGAAGAAATTAAATACTTCTTTTAATAAATAAAAAGTAGTTTAATAAGGAAACAAAACCATAAAAATCCAACAAATATAAAAAATATATTTAAAAAAATAATAATTTGTATCTATCAATAAAATCTTTCTATTCAATTTCATCATCATTTTCTTTCTATTCAATTTTCATCATCATCATCATCATCATCATCATCATCATCATCATCATCATCATCATCATCATCATCATCATCATCATCATCATCATCATCATCATCATCATCATCATCATCATCATCATCATCATCATTTTCATCATCATCATCATTTTCATCATCATCATCATCATCATCATCATCATCATCATCATCATCATCATCATCATCATCATCATCATCATCATCATCATCATCATCATCATCATCATCATTATTATCATTATTATCATCATCATCATTATACAATTGTTATGCAATTAGTTATGCAAAACTACTTACAGTTATTTTAAACATGTTTGTTCCAACAAACAATTGAGTCGCCAAATTAGACACCATACCACTCACAACAAAGTAATGTTCTTTATGTCTTAATAATTTTTCATTAAAGTAAATTACAAAAGTGACATTTTCTGAATCTGCTGTTGAGTCATCAAAATCATTTTTGATGCTAGTTACAGATGTAAAAGTATTTTGTTTTCTAAAATAAAGTTCAGCAAACAAATATTATATATGCATGTATATGTATGTATGTATGTATGTATGTATGTATGTATGTATGTATGTATGTATGTATGTATGTATGTATGTATGTATGCATGCATGTATGTATATATGAATACATATATATATATATATATATATATATATATATATATATATATATATATATATATATATATATATACATATATATATATATAGATATATATATATATATATATATTATATATATATATATATATATATATATATATATATATATATATATATATATATATATATATATATATATATATATATATTAGACTGCTTCATTTTGATGTCATAAAAAAATTAAAAGTACCATTGCTGCGCAGTGTAACCCATATTTTATTAGTAGAACTTCTTTTATTTTGAATTTCGACCACTTTTAAGGGTTGCTCAAGTGCATCAAAAGTCATATTTTAGACTATTAAACCCTCTTTTAAGCCCATTTTTGGCAAAAAAAATTTTCTTTGAAGAGTTTCTAATTCGGTAGAAGAACTAAATAAAATTTTATTTATGGGAAATATTATATATAAAACTGTCTGGAAAATTGCAAATTTATGTTATTTTTTCGCATTACGGTAACTTTTCAGATATTTTTATGTTTATTGAAACAAGCACATCATATATGAAAAAGATTATACATATATGAAATAGATTTACATATAAGAAATAGATTTACATATACAAAAAAGATTTAAGCTTGCTCACTTTTAACCAATATCGAATGGCACGTAAAAAGGTATCAAAAAAGCTCAAAATTGTAACTTTTTTAAGCAACACAGAAAAATCGAGAAGCTAAAAAATACCAACCCAAGAAACTTCTGGAATACCTTCAGATACATAAAGTCTGATACAAACCCAAAACTATTTACTATAAATAATAAAAAGGAAAAGGAATCAATCACTAAAGAATTTGCTGAAAGTTTTGAAAAACGTTTAAATACCAAAGCAATGACGCATACCGCTTCGAATTTTCAAGTTCCACCTTGTACCAAATTTGATATGTTAATAATACGAGATGAAAATATTAAAATGGCTATCTCTGGCCTAAATATAAACAAGACCAAAGATACGTTTGGAATCTCTACAGCACATTTAAAATATGCACATTGTAAAACCTTGACAGAGAGGCTAAGAAAATTCTTTAACTTTATTATTAACCACAGTCAGGCACAAAATTGATGTCTACATCACTCATTATACCTCTTGTTAAATCTTATAAAAAATCATTAACTGATCTGAATAACTACTGTGGTATTAGCATCACTCCAATCTTTACAAAACTAATAGAATATCTTATTTTAAAAATCTGTCCTCAGATAAAAGAAACTCACCCTCTTCAATTCAGTTTTACAAAAAACAGCTCAACCTTACATGCCAAATTTGTTATAATGGAAACAATAAAACATTACAAACAACAACAACTAACCTGTGTATCTCTATTCCCTAGATGCAAAAAAGCATTTGACAGCTGTAATTAGGACATAAATAAAAAATTACTGATTTATATTATTACTATATCGTCATTGTGCAATGAAAGTAGTGCTTCTGTCACTTATCTAGGATGCAAATCATATCATTTTATCTAATACAAATAGTGAGACAAGGATCAATTCTGTATCCTCACCAGTATAATGTTTATACTCAAAGCCTACTTGCAACCATACAAAATGAAAGTACCACCATGCTCGCTTCATCGAAAAAATTAGAGAATCGTAGCTTTATGGCAAAAGGAAGAATTTTTTTTGCACATTAACAAATACTTAGTGTTTTAATAAGTTTATGTAATAAATTCATTTTTGGTATCTACTACCTAAAGCTCTGACTTTTGATGGGTGAAATAGCTAATCTTATGAGATTAATGAAGCGGCAACTTTTGTTGCTGCCTTCTAAACTACTGATTTCTTAAAGCTGAACTAGCCTCTAATGCTCCATGTCTGGTAAGTATCAACTTAAAAAATATAAAATGTGTAAATTTAGTATACAAGGATTCCAGTATGAAAAAAATGATTTTAATAACTAATAAAGCATAATTTTTTCTAAACAAAGAATTTAACAATTTTTTCTTTCATCCTTTTTCATCTTTCATTTTTTCAAAATACTAAAGCAAATAAGAAGTAAAATCAGATTTGAACAGAATCAGGATTAAATCTATTAAACAACACACATAGTTTATGGACGCTTATCTTATTGTGCTAGGCTATCTTATTGTTCAAACATTATGGGTAAATATCTATCAGCCTAAATGAGAGCAAACATAGAGACACTCAATTTTTTAGATTTCAATGGATTGAAGCCTCCAAGCTTAGTTCAATTGGTCACAGAAAATGCGTGGTCCTGTTCCTTAGCCCAAAGTATAAGTGGCTGTCAATAGATGAACCCACTTACTTATGCCTCTAAATACTATAATTGCAAGCATTTCTACCTATAATTTCAGAGTGCTGAAATTATAGGTAGAATTTTCATCCTGTTGTTGTTAATGATTGCTATATAAGAACTGCAGTCGTGGCGCAGTAGTAGCGCAGTTGTGTCAGAAGCAAGATGCTTGTGTTTTGAAGACAGCTTTTAGGCCAAATGGTACTACATTTGACCTAAAAGCTGACACTAAATGTTTTTCTGCGGTGCTTGGTAATTAGACCGTTTGGACTTCCTGGAGTATTTATGCACCTAAAGTAAAAATAAATTAATAAATATAATAAATTGAATTAAAAATAAAAACTGTCAAGCTCATAAAGGACAACGATGTAGCTAGAATTGAAACTGCAAAAGCAAGTATGAAGGAAAAAACAAGACCATCAAGAAAAACAAAAAAAACAATGAATAAATATAACAAAGTATATTTTTTAAAATAATAATTTAATAAAAAGTTTTTTTTTTTTATCAGACTATTATTTAAAAAAATGCTTTAGTTTAAAGAGCAGCTGTAGTTTCATCACAAAATACTCTTAAACAATGTGATCCTTTTTGTCTTTCAATGGATTTTGGATGTTATATAAGATGCTTATAGATGTATAGTTACAAAATTTAGTCTTGATAACTTAATTAGCTGATCTTTCTCAAAGTCTAAGATACATTTAAGGTTACTCCACTTGGCAGTCAAATTTTGGTCTTTTTCAAGTTGTAATTCCTGAATTTTTTACATAATCCAGTTATTCCTAATATTTTTTAGTAGATGAACTAATCAAAAAGGAGAAAAGTTCCACATTTTGTTAACCATGGTTTCCCTTCAACTCTCTCAAATAATTTAAAAAAAAGGCTTGATTTGTTTGATTGCCATCACAAATAACTGAAATAACTTTTCCATTGCTAGACTTAATTGAATTAATAACATTTTTTTTATTTTTTTTTTTATTTTAATTCACCTCCTCAAGGCTGAGAAGGCCACTAACGACGAGGAGGCTACTTATTTGTGGCTATATTCCTCTCTCAACTTTATAAATCCAAACACGAACCTTGAAGAACAAGGCCGCTGCGCGGAGAAACAAGTTGACATAGCATACTTGATCAAACAAAAAAGAAGCATCCAAATGACAGACAGGTTTGATTAGAGTGTTTCATTTTGAACAATTTTTCGAAAATGGTTATGTTACATGCATAAAGGGGTAAATAAAAATAAATAAATAAAGGGGTGCCAAAAAAAAAGTCTAAAAAATTTTCAAAATTTTAAAATGTCATCTAGAGGTTGCCATCTCGAAAAAATAGCATTTTTTACACATTTTTCAAATTTAAACTTAAATAACTTAAAAAATAATTAATTTTATGTTGATTTACTAGGTGTATATATCAAAGGTTATTAGATGAACATTTGGTGAAATTTTCAGAAAAATTGGTCAATGTCTAAAGGTCGCCATATTAAAATATATAGCTAAAAAACTTTTTATTTTTTAAATCTTAAAAAAAAATTCAACTAGGCTGTTTTTAGGCTTCAGCTTTTTTAAGAATAATAATCAATAAAGAAGATAGTAGTAATATAAAAAATACTATAAAGTATTAATTAGTTTTGATTTCGAATAGGATGGATTTTGCTTTCTGTGTTTAACAACTTGCAAAATAAATTGATGTTGTTCTTCATTTTGCGCACACTCGTGAAAATCACCAATAAGTTTGATTCCTCTTTCGACGCAATCATTTGTTACCTCTATTTGTTGAACAAAGTTTTCTGCAATTCGAAAATCTTGGAAGAATTCATCTGTAGCCATTCCTGATTGTTTATTAGTCCTAATAAATCAAAAAGAAGCCACGACCGTGGTCCAATTAAAAAATTAATAAAGGTTGAAGAATTTAATGTTGGAAATTTTGGTTTCCCAACTAAAAATGTTTTTGGTCTTGGGGTAGGAAAAATTTTCTTTGCCATAATTGTTCTGGTAAATTCTGACAATTTTTCATTAAATAAAGATAAAATAACAAGCTCTTCTGTTAAATAGCAAAGGTGACAGTTAATCTACAAAATCACAGTAATTGCGATATCTGAATCTTCTTCTTGATACCAGTTTATTGCAACAAAAAATTTAAAGTCAACAACTGGAGCAAATACGGAAATCCTTAAGCAGAGAAATTGCATCGAATAAAAAAGACTAATAAACTTAGCCACACGGTGGATCATAATTTGCTAAATATTGGACTTAACTTTATTAGATAGAGAAATAAATTTATTAGATAGAGTTCCATTTTTAAAATATATATAGAATGTGACATAAATCTCGCATTGTGAATTGCACCTGGTTTGGGAACTTTTAATATTCTGTCCATTGATAGTTTTCCCTCAAGGTAGATAATAGTTAATTCAATTAACTCAAGATAATCTTCTCACGGAAATATTTTCTCTTTGAGGCATTGGTAAGCCCATTTCAGAACTAAACTTGCTTGATTAAATTATTTCTAATTTAATATCAGTAGGCCATTCCAAAAAATTAAAGTTTGAGTAATCAATATCAATTCTAGAAAATTTGG